GACAAAAGGAGGACACTTTCAGAAAATAAAAAATTGAGTTACTGCTAACAGATGTTCATTAAAGGAGCTTTTAAGGGGCCAGCAGTTGGCGTAATGGCCATGTTGCTGGACTCCCATGTAGTCGACCACAGTTTCTGAGTCCCGGACCCAGTGGCTTAAACTCACTCTGGGCGCATGTGCATGCATGCACAAGATCTCAAGAGGAAAATGGAAGAGAAAGGATTGTGGCGTGGCCATCCCCCCTGGGGGGTGATTTCTCACTTTCTGTCTCTCTGTCTCTCTGGCAAGTGCATGCACCCTATATAGCAAAAACCTCTCCAAGAAAAAAAAAGAGCTTTTATGAGCACACATTAGGATAAAGAAAAATGATCCCAGAAGGTAAGTCTCAGATTTATAAAACAATAATAAAGTCTAATTTGAAGATTAAAAATAGTATAGTATTGGGGCCAGTAGGTGGCATGGTGGTTGAGGTGCTGGACTCTGGCATGGCCGACAATGGTTTGCGTCCCAGACCACGTGGCTTGCTTTCTCACTTTCCCTTTCTCTCTTTCTCTTTGGCCAACTTTAAAAATAATAATAATATATAAAATTAAATGAATATTAAATGAATAATTATTTTATAAAAAAAATACAGTACTAAAATACTGAATATAACACTATTTTTTAAAACGAGGATGATGATTAGCATCTTAAATTTAGAAGGAGAGTGAAGCAAAAAATTAACTTTAGACTTGAAGTACATGTGCTAAAATTTAAGAGGAACCAATTGCTAAGAACAGAAATACAGTGTATAATTTCCAAAACAGTAGAGGGAAAAAAGTGGAATCCAAAGGAAAATCTTAAAAAATGAAAAAGAAAAAGCAGGAAAAAAGGTGGAAAGACATAGAAAGTGTGAGACAGCACAAAATAAAATGGTAAAAATAATCCCAAATATAGCAATCAATTAAAATCCAACAAACTATAAATGGACTAAACTCACCAGTTAAAATAAAGATGTCATCAGACTGGATGAAAACAAAACAAAGTAAACTAAATAATCCAGATATTTGCTGTATCCTTGAGAAAATCTGAAACACAAAAACATGTGTATCTGAATAATTAATGTTGGCTGCTGTAACAAATAACACCTACAACTGCCAGGGCATAACACAACAAAATTGATTTGTTGCTCACGTCACAGTTCATCAAGTCAGACTGCTGCTCTGTTGTCTCTTCTCCAATCAGTGAATCTGGAGTCCTTCAGTCTCTCTTCTACCACGGTGAAGTTCTTTGCCTCAAGGAATGTGAATAGGGAAGAGAGAAAGATAGAGAAAGAGCAGGCATAGAAGACCATGTACAACATTGTAGGGGCCCAGCCTATAAGTGCTATACATCACTTCTACTCACATTCCTCTGGCCACAAATCAGTTCACCTGGTCACAACATAACTGGCAAAAGAGCTGAGAAATATCATGCTGTATTTCCAGGAATAGGAAATGTAATTAGAGAGTGTTGTAGTCTTTGATACATGAAAAGGTTGAAAATAAAAAAAGATGGAAAAGGATATGCCAGATGGATACCAACTAGAAGAAAGCTAGTGTAGCTGTCTTCATATTGAACAAGTTAAACTTCAAGGTAAAATGCATTCTGAGTAATAAAGACAGTAACTACACAATAACAACAGATTTGATTCACCAGGAAGAGATGCTAATTCTGAAATTATGTATGTACTGAACGATATCTTCAAATAACATAAAGCAAAAATTGACAGAATTAGAAGATATTGACAAGGCCATTACCACAGTAGTACAAACATAATGCACAACTTTCTCAGTAATTGAAGTCACACAGACCAAAAATTAGTAACATATAGAAAACAAAAACAACACAACTGACAAGCCAGATAAAAAAGACATGTATAGAACTTTATCTCTAACTACAGAGAAGGTACATTTTTTTTGGAGAGGTTTTTGCTATAGGGTGCGTGTGCTCGCCAGAAAGACAGAGACAGAGAGACAGAAAGTGAGAAATCATCCCCCAGGGGGGATGGCCACGCTACAATCCCTTCTCCTCCATTCTCCTCTCAGGATCTTGGGCACGCATGCACACGTGCCCAGCGTGAGTTTAAGCCACCGGGTCTGGGACTTGGACTGCAGTCAACTACATGGGAGTCTAGCAACATAACCATTACACTAACTGTTGGACCCTGGTACATTTTTTTTAATGGTGCAAGAAACATTCATAAAACTGACCATGCTGACTGTAGTTTGAGTCCTGGACTCAGTGGCTTGAAATTCATGCTGGGCATGTATGTGTACATGTCCAAAACCGTAGAAGACTGGAGGAGAAGGGATTGTGGCATGACCCCCCTCCTTGGGGGGTTACTTGTCACCTATCTTCTCTGCCTGTCTCCCTGTCTCCCTCTCTCTGGTGCCTGTATGCACCCTATGGCAAAAACCTAAAATAAATAAATAAATAAATAAAAACTGACCGTGTACTTGGCTATAAAGCAAGTCTGAACATGTTTTTCAGAACAGATTCAGAAATTCAGTTTTCTAATTACAGTGCAATTAGGTTAAAAATCGAGGTTGGCAGGTGGCCTGGTGGTTAAGGGTGTTGTACTCCCACATGGCCAATCACAGTTCGAGTCTTGGACCCGGCAGCTTGCTTTCTCATTTTCTCGTTCTCTCTCTCTCTCTCACTCTGTCCCTCTCTGTTCAAATATAAATAAATAAATAAAGTTAAATGAAATAATTCCTTAAAAATAATCTATAACAAATGGGGCTGGCAGGTGGCATTGTGATTAAGGCTAGACTCCCACATGGCCAACTGTGGTTCGAGTCCTGTACCTGGTGGCTTGCTTTCTCACTCATTCTCTCTCTCTCTCTGTGTGTCTCTCTCTAGTCATATTAAAAATAATGATCCAATGATATGAGTATGGCTACATAAAGTATGCTTTATCAACCCAATAGGCTATCATGTCGCCATTACAAAATGTTTCTTGAGGGGGCCAGCTGGTGGCATAGCAGTAACACACAGTCTCTGATACTGGGCCCACATGGGGAGCTCCAGGGTTCATGTCCACAGGCCTACCTGTACAGATCAGGTGTATGTGCACATGTCTGTCACTGGAGTTGGCTGAGGCTGGAGTGGATTGAGGGGTAAAGACCCTGTTGGTGGTATCTAGCTATCTGTCTCTCTCATGGAAGAAATATATACATTTAAATTTTTTAAAATTGAGTAATGTTTAATGTATAATATGAAATGGAAATCTGAATGCATATGCTACTTATTATTATAATCATGTGAACAAAATGTACCCATTTAGACAGATTAGGAAGGTATAAGCAAATGAAAACAGTTGTTGGGACAGCTGGTGGTGTGGTGGTTAAGGTAGCTGGATCCTACCTGGATGAATGCATAGTCCGAGTCTTGGACCTGGAGGCTTGAAAAACATATCCCTTAAGGAGGGAAAAGCAGAGGAAAGGAGATTGCAGCATGACCATTCCCCATGGGGGTGGGTGTTTCTTACTTTTTCTCTCTCTCTGGCGAGCACACACACCCTCTAGCAAATTAAAAGAAAAAGAAAATAAAAACCAGTTGTTACATTATGGTTATGGGATTATGTATAATTCTACTTATAAAATAATTTTCTGTGATGCTGTTACATGGCTTAATTGAAGTTAAAAGAACCAATAGAAGACATGATCTCTGTTTGGCGGTAGATGCTTGTCGTGCCCTAATATCCACTTATCCCTCTCTTTGATAACAACAGATTTTCCTTGGGTATAACTGCCCAAAACTAAAGTGCATTTACCAGCCTTTCTTGTAGCTGGTGTTAAGATGGAATGAAGTAGAACCAGTAGATAGTGTAATGGTTATGTCGCTAGACTCCCACATAGTCAACTATGGTTTGAGTCCTGGACCTGGTGGCTTACTCATGCTAGACGCATGTGTGTGCGTGCCCAAAATCCTGAGAGGATAATGGAAGAAAGGATTGCGGTGTGGCCATCCCCTGTGGGGTGATTTCTCACTTTCTGTCTCTCTGTCTCTGTCTCTATGGTGAGCACATGCACCCTATACCAAAAACCTCTCTAAAAAAGTGGGATGAATTTATAGCTAATGAAATATGAGAAGTTGGTACCCTGAAATGTAATGAAAATTTCCTTCCTTTGTCTTTTCCTTCTATCTTACCCCAGAAATAGCTTTATTATTGCACATACTATGAGTAGACTGAATCTTATAGGCATTTGATTGGATGAGGGACAGCTTTCTAAATTAATGAAAATGAGAAATGAGGGCACATAGGTGTTTTTCTATTCAACCAGTGTTCATTACAAACTGACAACAAGGGGATTAGCCTTCCGTTTTTGTATATCAAATAAAGATGTATTAATATTAAAGAGTGCAGGTTTACATCAAATATGTTCCAGTAGGAATCCAGATATACATTTACTCCAATATTCTTTATCATTTAAGAGTATATTTTGGTAGAGGATGAGATCTTTTTATAGGCGGCCATGCCTGAGTTAGATCAACAAATAAACTATGCATTTTAAATGTTAAGCAAATAAAAAAAATTGCGTTGTTGAAGTTCAATAAATAATTGTGCTTTGTTTAATGATCACAGCCTCTGTTAAGGTTTGATATAATCCAATAGCCTGGATCACAAAAGAAATCAGTAATTTGCACTATATCAGGAATGAGAATTTATTGATTAAAATGAAATTGATAAATATTATTCCAAACAATCTTTATACTTGAAAAATAGCCAAAGTACAACATTAAAGCAGATGCAACATTCTGCCCCAGGTGCTTCAATGCTCAATAATGATTAGGTATGCTATGTCATGCCTACTGTAGCAACAAATCCATTATTCTTTTTATTATAATTCAGAATAGGTCATTCACAAGCTGTTCTGTAAGAACAACATGCAACTGAAAAAGAAAGATCCTGGAGGCTGACTCAAGAGCAGCCTTTTATTCTATGAATTCTCATATTTATGCTAAGCATGGCCCGTTCAGATATTTTTTTTTAAATGAAAGAAAATCAAAATGGAATGAAAGACCCAGGACTAATCTGCCCATCATTTTTTGAACAAAACTGTATACTGCTAGTTCGAAGGCGGCATCTAATAAAAATAAGTTATTTGGATTGAAATTCTGTCAGTAAAAAAATATGTGCACCTAAGGTAATACAAAAGGGCTTAAAATACATCATGCATTTCCTTAAGAGAGCATACCGAGGACTTGTTTCCATGTTATTTCCCTTTATTACTCATACTCATCACTTATACACAGACAAGCAGATTGTTAAATGACTTTGGTTTTCTGTCAATTAGCTGTGCATTAACATGATGAAGGGTTCCTAAGATACGCGTCTTCACACCAGGCAAATAATCCCTTTTCTTCTTTTTCTAATTTGCCACCTGGCAGGGATTCATTAATTTTCACAATGTCTAAAGATGGGGTGGAGGCAATGATTGTCCGTTGCTGCTCAGTACTTGGTTTGTCCACTTGCAGTCCCTAGGCAGAGTTACACATAAAAGTGGAAAGTCTTTTATATTTGTTTTTTGCTACCTTATTTTTTCATAGTTGACTCTATATTTAGTGTCACTGCTCCACCCTCCAATTCACAGCAGATTTTTAAAAATTACAAACTAATATATGAATACATATTTATTGTAAATCTGCCTACGATGGTAGACTTTACATAGTTTAGCCTTTAGTACATTTAAGTAGAAATGACTTCCATTTTGAAAAAAGCACCATCAGAGATGTGCTGAATCAGCAAGGTGAACACACAGAGATGATCTATTCCCCCCCCCCAATCTCATGCTGATGGGGAGCCAAAACAGCTGGTGTTTCTCAGAATAGCTACGAATATTGTTTAAGAATGTTTAAAAAAGCAAGTAATAAGGTGAAAGTAGCTTTATACTATCCAAGGTACAATATGGAAAAGTGTTCTGACCTTGAATTTGTAGATTAGAACCATTTTACTTAGGCAATCAGAATTACTTACATTTTGCATATTGTCCAAAACAATGAATTCAGTACAAGTTAAACTTACGATTACCTCGGAAGCAGTTTTTTCTTTAGCTATCTTAAAGACTTGTTTCATTCTTTCAAGTTGCATTTGAGTTTCCTTGGATCGTTGACACGGATGTGTAACTTGATTTTGCAGTTGGTACGGCCGGTGTAAAGGTGGGAGAATTATAGGGCGTCTAGAAAATGTTTTTATTACAGACAGAAAAAAAATCACACAAAATGAAATTTAAAATTTAAAGCAAGTCCCAAATTTTATTCCCATATTCTCTATCAAATATATCATAGACCTGAGTGCTTGGAGCAACCCTATATAAGATTTTAGGTTAAAGTTATTGCTGCTTCAGTTTACATAGCATTGTTCTTTTTAAAAAAATAATTTATTTAGTTGTATTTATTATTATTATTTTTAATTTTTGCTATAAGGCATGTGTGCTCTCCAGAGAGAGACAGAGAGACAGAGAGAGAGAGAAAGAGAGAGAGGAAAAGTGAGAAAGCAAGACAGCTGGTCTGGAATTCAAACCATGGTCAGACATGTGGGAGTCCAGTGCCTCAACCACCATGGCACCTGCTGGCCCCTACATACCACTTACCAAGGTGTATAGATGATGATGTCAACAACAATGATGAAGAAAATAATAAAAGCTGGTATCAATTTGAAATGAGCTTTCCTGGGAAATTCAATGTAATATCCATTTCAATTTTTTTTTTACAATAAATACTAACACAAAAAAGTATTACATTTCATATGGTTGAAAAACAAAGTGTGTTTATTAGTGTTGGGATCAGACATAGTTGGTGCTTTCCCTATAACCCCCTTGGTTTTATCATTATAGGGCACAGAGGCCCAACTTCCACCTGCCAGTATCTGCATCACTCAGTCTGAGAGCTTTCTTTGAGAATAAGAGCCCATGTGCACAGAAGGTCAAAAATGTCTGAGAATTAATACCTCTCATCCTAAGCAACCATTAACCAATGACTGATGGGAGTTGGTATATCAATACCCCAACTCCCTTGGCCCTGTGAGATAACTCTGAGTTGCATGTTTTACACAGGCTCTGACATTCCCGAGTAAGCTCGTTACTGACAGCCACAGCTTGTTTGCTAACACACACTGTTTTGGTCCTTTTCTTTCTCTGTTTCACTTCTCTAGCCTCTCTCATCAGCCCTTCCTGAGATCACCTCCCAAATAAACTACTTGCACTCAAATCCTCATCTCAGGGTCTGTTTCTAGGAGATCCCAAACTAAGTCTGCATTTGAAGATGCCTTTTATAAAGGCCTTTATATTTTTATAAAATAGTTTTTTTTCTTTAATTGATTTAGCATCTGACTACTTATTTGGATCTTAAGTGACTCATTCTTGGATAATCAGTAGCAAGAATCCAAACAGCAGGGAGCCTGGGGTTATATATGGTGGCAGAGAAAATTACATCATTTATTTGACCTTGGTGGTAATGGGGTTAAGTTCTATATTCAGTGCTCATATGGATGAGTTAGAGAAAACTCTTTCATGATGACAGACTGTGCCCTCAACCAGGCCATCTGTCTGGCAAATGTATAGCCCTGATCGTAAAATAAATGGGCTAAATTATGTTATTGGGTCAGCACCACTCATCTCTACTCCTGAAAAAAAACAGCGTGTTTGCTTGACAGCGATCAGCAATGTTTTCTTTGTGTTCTAAAGAAGTATTTCTCATTTCAAATATGAGTGTTTGAAAACAGATATCAACAGGTTCTCTTCAGACTGATTATCTCTCTCTCTCTCTTTTTTTTTTTTAAAAAAAAAGTCAGCTTAATTGGTACATAACATGGGCTAGATGAGACTTAGTAATGGAAAGAAAAAAGGAATATAATCAGACCAGTCATATTCTGTCCATATTTCAGAACACAATACCTCTATTTTGCTACAACATGTGTTTTTAAAATGCGAATTGGCTCACATGCTATTGGTAAAGATGGGAATAATGTCACTGTAATTTATATGCAATTTATACCAGGCAAAGGGAGCCAGAATAGCAAGAATAGAATTATAACCTTCAGCAGAAAAGGAAAAAGCCCTCAGCTCTGTGCTGTGTGGGCAATGGGAACCCTTTTGGCTGTCATTATGAAAAGAAATATTTAAACCTGCACTTAGGGCTCTCTCCCAAGAGAGGCATGCCCACCTGCCCCCAAATCATCCTCACTGTCCTCCACCCTACCCCTGCCTTGAATGGCTCCTGTCCACTTATATAAGGGAACCACTTCCATCTTGTCTCTATGCCCACTACTCACTCTAATGAAAGATTTGTCAGTGCTTCCACTCTATTGTCGTACATACTGTATACTTGCTGTGGCAGCCTTCAACCACACCAAGCTGTGTGTCTGGTGGTACAAGCTATATTCCCAGGTACCAATTTGTCCTTTGGTTTCTGTGTATTACACACACACACACACACACACACATAACTTTTTTTTAAAGAATCATTTATTTATTCACTCATTTATTTTTAATTTGGAGAGAGAGAGAGAGAGAGACAGAGCAAGCAAGCCACTAGGTACAGGACTCAAACTATGGTCAGTCATATGGGAGTGCCCAGCACCTTAACCACACCAACACCTGCTGGTCCCCACGCATAATTTTTTTAAGAGAGATTTTTTGCTATGGGGTGCATGTGCTGACCAGAGACAGACAGAGAGAGGTAGAGAGAGAGAGAAAGCGAGAAATCACTCCCAGGGGGGATGGCATGCCACAATCCCTCCTTCATCCTCCTCTTGGGATCTTGGGCATGCATGCAAATGGGCCTGGCTTGAGTTTTAAGACACCAGGTCCAGGACTTGAACCGTGGTTGACTACCTGGGAGTCCAGTGACATAACCATTATGCCATATGCTGGTCCGGGTGTACCATTTATAAAGTGTTATAAGTTTTTAGCAATCTGCCCCAACCCTATTTTTCCTATATGCTCTAATAATATCTTTAGTGAGCTATCTGGCAGAATGTGAACCTTTTCAGAAATGCCCCCAGTGCTGTAACCCTACCGAAGGATCTCTTTTACCTAACTCCAGAAACGATCCGCAGCTGGTGCTGGTGCATTTCTTCTGACTGTGGTTTCCGTAACAAATATTTCATTTCTTTTTGTAGACGGTTTGAAATGACTCCAGACTGTGCATAATCAACGATGTCATACATCATCGTGGCCCTGGGAATGTTTTCAAGGCTTAATCTTCGCCAGTAATTGTTTTTACCACCCGATGATGCAGGAGTCTCGTCTAGAAGGCTAGAATACTATATGGAAACAATGATTAAGAAAAATTGGTTGTGGGCGCTCTAAAATGATTTTGGACACATCTCTCAAAGTTCCATCAAAAGCTACTTCATACAGAAGGCATTCTTTGGGGCGAGATAGTGGCACAGTGGTAACACAACTTGACCCACATGGCCTCTTCCCCAGTAAGCCGGGCATGTGTGTGCTTGCCCATGATCTGGACTGATTCGGACTGGGGGTAGATCATGGTGTGAGAATCCTGTTGGGGGTACCTGTCTCTTTGTCTTTCTTATGGAAGAAAGAAAAACTGACTTAAAAAAAATCATTCCTTTGGGGCCAGCAGGTGGCGTGATGGTGAGAGTGCTGGACTCCGACATGGCTGACCACAGTTTGCCATGGAGGGGTGATTTCTCACTCTGTCTCTCTTCAGTGAGCACATATACCCTCTGAAAAATTAAAAAAAAAAAGTCATTCCTTAATCCTATCTCTGCACTTTATCATCATCTTGTTCCTATGACTCTTTTTTTTTTTCTTTTTTTAAGAGAGATATTTTGGTATAGGGCACATGTGCTCGCCAGAGAGATGAAGATAGAAAGTGAGAAATCACCCTCTGGGGCGATGGCCATGCTGCAATCCCTTCTTATACATTCCTCTCTTGGGATTTTGGGCACATGTGAACATGTGCTCGGTGTGAATTTCAAGCCACTGGGTATGGGACTCTAACCACAGTCGTTCATGTGGGAATCCTGTGACATAACCATTACACCATCTGCTGGTCCCACTCCTATGATTTTTCTTGCCATCTAGCAACATTGTAGTTATCTGTATATGTGTTAGCTTCCTTCCTAGAAGACAAAATACATGTCACCTAGTGTCATGCACATAGTTCCATACTATTTAAAGCACAAGCATTTTTATGGCAAATATAACTCGGATGAATTAAAATAGGGATTGGCCTAAAAATTAGTGATAATAGCTTTGTGTTCTACATACCTCACAATGCTTGTTCATGACATACTTGTTCATGACATGCTTGGGTTGGGGGAAATAAAGAGTTTGTCTCTGGTGCTAAGTGGAGAATTTCACTGTTTTCACTTAGAGTATTTATAAAAATTCTGCTTCTTTTTTAAAATTTAAAGTTACATAGATTTAGAAAGTTAAATAATTTAAATATTGGGACCAGCAGTTAGCATAATGGCTATGTCACTGGACTCCCATGTAGTCAACTATGGTTCGAGTCCCAGACCTGGTGGCTTAAACTCACGCCGGGCATGTGTGCGTGCGTGCCCAAGATCCTGAGAGGAGAATGGAGGAGAAGGGATTGCGGTGTGGCCATCCCCCCTGGGGGGTGATTTCTCTCTTTCTGTCTCTCTCTGTCTTCCTGGTGAACGCACATGTCCTATAGCAAAAACCTCTCCAAAAAAAAAGGGAAAAAAAAGAATTTAAATATTGGGACCAGCAGTTGGTGTAATGGTTATGTCGCTGGACTCCCATGTAGTCAACTGTGGTTCAAGTCCCGGACCCAGTGGCTTAAACTCACACTGGGTATGTGTGTGTGTGCGTGCCCAAGATCCTGAGAGGAGAATGGAGGAAAAGGGATTGCGGTGTGGCCATCCCCCCCAGGGGGGTGATTTCTCTCTTTCTGTCTCTTTGTTTCTCTCTGTCTTTCTGGCAGGTGCCTATAGCCAAAACCTCTCTAAAAAAAAAAAAAAGAATTTAAATATTAATACATAGTGGCCCAGTAGAAGTGGGGCAGCAGTAATATAATGCTCTGTAATACTGGAAGCCAAATGGAAGATCAGGGTTTGGTTCTCTGGTCAACCTGTGCATGCTGATTGTCAGTGTGTTTGTGCTTGTGATCCTGGCTGGCTAGGATAGGCTGTGGGGAGGGTCACATAGTGAGATCCTGTTGAGGGTACCTCTCTCTCTCATATGAAGTAAGTAAATAAATAAACTTAAAAAAATAAATATATAGGGACCAGCAGTTGGCGTAATGGCTATGTCACTGGACTCCCATGTAGTCGACCGTGGTTCGAGTCCCGGACCCGGTGGCTTAAACTCACACAAGGCACATGTGCATGCGTGCCTAAGATCCTGAGAGGAGAATGGAGGAGAAGGGCCACCCTCCCTGGGGGGGTGATTTCTCGCTTTCTGTCTGTCTCTCTTTTTCTGGCAAGCTCACGTGCCCTATAGCAAAAACCTCTCAAAAATATATATAATGAACTTAACATTATAAATGTGGATTTAAGAAACAGGAAGAGGACAGGAGGAACTACAATGTTGTGAAATACAATAACAGTGAGGCCTTTAGGGTATATCACACACACACACAGTCTCTCTCTCTTACATTCACAGTCTAATGTGTACACACACAGAACAGAGGCAGTTTTCCCTGTGCAATATTTGTTATGCACAAATTTCAACCATTTAGTTGAATAATACTAGTCCTTCAACAACACAGTTGCAATTTCAGTTACCATGGTATAACTGTAAACAATTACATAAAACATGACCTCTGCTGCTGGCTCTTTAGTCCATAGAGCACTACATAAATGACTGATCTGCATCATGATTAGTGACTAATCATGTCACTTCTTTCAAAGTCTGTCAGAAATTGGTTGCTATAGATCCATCGTTCAGTTCACAGGCAGATAGCAAAGTATGTAGTTGTGTTGCCTCTTTATCTCCCAGTGGTAAGCCATTTATGAAAATGGAAAATGGAGAGAATTGGTCAGCAGAGAAACAAGAAGTGGTAACATGGAGGTGAAGTTGAAACCAAATGTACATGGAGTTCTAGAAGAAATAGGTGACCATGGGAATGCAGACAGTGACGTCATACAAGAGATTGTAGAGAGACAGCTGGAGAAGCTCAGTGAATTTATTGACGTAAATGAGGAAAGTGGCTATGACGAAAAGGAGAAAGCTGTCCCAGAGGAAGTGACGATGGCCAAAAACATTTCACATTAAAGGAATTCTGAGATATTTTACAACATTTAAACTGCAAAGAATGAAATGTTGGCAGCTGACCCAAACTTAAAAAGGAATATAATTGTCATCTTTTATAATCAAGACATAGAAAGATGCTTGCTCCATATTGTAAGTTACACAAGGAGAACAAGAAGGCAGTTTAAAAGTTCAAACTATTGGGGACCAGCAGATGGTGTAATGGTTACATCGCTGGACTCCCATGTAGTTGACCGCAGTTCGAGTCCTGAACCCGGTGGATTAAACTCATGCCGAGTGCATGTGCATGTGTGCTCAAGATCCTGAGAGGAGAATGGAGGAGAAGGGATTGCAGCATGATCACCACTCCCCCCCGTCCCGGGGTGATTTCTCACTTTCTGTCTCTCTGTCTCTGTCTTTCTGGAGAGTGCATATGCCCTATAGCGAAAATCTCTTTAAAAAAGTTCAAACTACTGTTTAAAATTTTTAGGTTTATTTGTTTCTCTGACTGAGAGAGACAGAGAGAAAGAGAGAATCTCCAATAGTGTCCCAATGCTGTGATCTACCCCTAACCCCAGCCAGTCCTGAACCATGAGCATGTATGTGCTCAGCACACTCACCGAGGCCTCCAGATGCAAACCAGGAACCTTTGCATGTTGGTTAGCCTTCTCGAGTGCTGCAATTTACTGCTGTGCCACTGTCCAGTCCCCTGAAACTACTATTTTTTTTTAAAAAAATTGTATTGCCAGAGAGCATATGCACTTGCTAGAGAGTAAGGAGAGAAAGAGAGGGAGAGAGAGAAAGCAACTCCTAAAGGGGTATGGCCATGCTGCAATTCCTTCTCCTCTATTTCTCCATTGTGTCTGGATTTGGAGCATCAATGCACAAGTAGCCGGTGTGCTTATGAAGCTGCTAGGCCAGGATTTGAAACATAAAGTTGGTAATGTGAGATCTGGCTTCCTTAAATACCAAGCCACAGCGTTAGCCTGACAAATTTTTAAAATTT